GCCGGCAGCTCCCGGTGCCTCCTGCCCGGGCTGCCGCGGGAGTTCACCCCGAGGAACGAACGCGCCGTTCCCTCGCCCGAAACCAGCGAGTTTCAGCTTATTGAAAGCACCGGCGCGGTCGGCAATAACAATTCAACATGGAGGGGGCTGCGGTTGTGCTCCCCGCATGTGTGAAACGCTCCCCGGGACGGTTTGGTTTAATATTGCCTTGTGGCAGCTGGGGTTGAAATTCTCTTTTTATTTGTCCCTTTCTGCAGTTACCTTGCTGGATTCCAGATCGGTTCAGGGAGAGCTGGGGTGGATAGCAAGTCCCCTGGAAGGAGGGGTAAGTTTTAAACCGCTATCTGATCAAAAGGCTAAAGGGGGCGATCTCCCCGCATGTGTGAAACGCTCCCCGGGACGGTTTGGTTTAATATTGCCTTGTGGCAGCTGGGATTGAAATTCTCTTTTTATTTGTCCCTTTCTGCAGTTACCTTGCTGGATTCCAGATCGGTTCAGGGAGAGCTGGGGTGGATAGCAAGTCCCCTGGAAGGAGGGGTAAGTTTTAAACCGCTATCTGATCAAAAGGCTAAAGGGGGTGATTAGTAACTTTCAGAGAGTCCTAATGGCTCGATTATTGTTGATTGTGGCGAGGAGGTCAGATTTCTTCCTTGGCTTACCGACTGAATTACTCTTTGTTGGAGAAACTCTATACTCCCTTCGGATAGCTCTGTCATGGAAGAAGTGGAAACCAAAAGGGCAGAAAAGAGGTTTCAGAATTAGGAGATTGGTTGAGGCACGGGCTTAGCTGCCTATTTAAAACTGAAATTCCGACAAGAAATGTGAGCTGGCGACTGGACTGGCATTCTTGACTGTAATTATTATATCTGTGGGCCTTCTCAGCTGGGAGATGTTCAGGACGACTGCTGTTCTATTTCTGGATGAAGGACTAGGGATCAATATACAAGACGGACCATTTTCAGGGTGTAAACAGCATACATCTGGGTCTCTGAACAGATAAACTGAAGCTCCTTGTTCTCGATGGTGACTCCTTGGAGTTTCTTTCTATGTGCTTCCCAAAGAGACAATTTTAAGAGAAGATTTCTTGAATTTGCTGCCTGCTGCTGATGTGATGACACTAAGAGATCCACACATCCATCGCTGGGGCTTAGAGCCCCTTTGCTTAGAGAGCTGCAGGCAAAATGTCTTTTATTAGTTTACCTTTATATTTGTAGATGGGCACCTTGCTGCTCCCTCCTCTGTGCCCCATCCTGTGGGGTGCCCAGGGCCTTGGGGGGCAGCTCCTGAGAACGCTCTGCTTTGGAGTTGGTGCAGATTAGTACTTCCTGGGATCTTTTGGGGTTTTATTTTTTTTTTTTTTAATAAGCAATTAGGAAGGCTTTTTCTTTCTTAAAGAGAACAATTTAAGAAAAATGCCAGCAATGCACACTGAACATTAATATATAAAAAAACCAAACCCACCTCAAATCCTTGTGCTATTAAATGAGTAAAGCAGCTTAGTAAGTCTGAGCAGAAGTAACTAAGTCAAAGAGGTTGAAAACTAAAAGTGCTGAAAGATCAGGGCCTGTGCAGAACAAAGCACTGGATTCTCGAGCAGACCTACAAATGTCCTTTTTTGTGTGCGTTCCCACTCGTAACGAGGAGGAGCAGAGCTAAGGAAACAGCGGCGAGTGGAAGGAATCCGCGCTTGCTCGGCTGGTGATGCATTATGCATAAGCTCTGAATAACCATAACACGGGAGAATGGGGGATTGTTTTGCTCCCCCATTGTTGGTCTGGGTGAACTTGACTACGGTCCTGGCTTGTGCTGTCCCCGAAAGTGGGGTTTTCAAAGAGCGGGGCGGTGATTGGCAGGCCTCTGGCAGCGCCGGCCGTGCCTCGCAGGCGCTCGCCCTGCTCCTTTGACAGTGTGGAAAGGTACAGCTCTATCTGGCTGAGAATCCGGCTTCCTCCTTAATCCCGGACCCTGGAGAGGTCAGTTAATAAGACGGGGGCTTTCATGCGTCTCTCCGAGGGATCTCCACGCTGGGTATTAAAACGGGACCTAAAATACAAGTTTTAATAAGTCAGCAGTGGAATGGATGCTCGGAGGACGGCTGTGTATTATTAATGGCTGTTGGATTCCCCCTCTCCCCGTGGTTTCTCTGAGAGCTCCGTATGAGCTTGAGAAGGAAATGTGTACTCTTACTGTGGACGTGACTTGTTTCACTGAACCTACATACGTGTGTTCTATTTTTAAGCCACTAGTGAAAAATTTAAGAGTACATGGTCTGTCTCTGTGATGCAGTGCTTGGAAAGCATTTATTTCAACTTCACGTGCTGCAGATTTATTTCAAGCAGCAGAAACAAACTCCTCTGTCTTCCAGGGTAGATTCTGCCCTTCAGTGCTGTTCTTTCGTTAACTGTGTGTTCCTTAGTGTCTGTTTAAGAAAAAAAGTGTTTTTTATAGGTCTGTATCATCCAGTTCCTGAGGTGTGAGGGTTGCGTGGCTAAAGAAGGCTGGAGATAAACATAGTCATTTAGCAGCAACTAGCAGTAATCAAATATATAGTAGCCCTGGAGTAGTTAATGAATTGCATTATAAATGTAATTAATGATTTACTCTTGCATTTCACAGCTGAAAAGCAGATTTTGTGCCTAGAATGTTTTACTCCGTGTCATTAAAGCGTGGGAAGAGTTGAATTATAAAAGTTAATTCCAGCTTGAAAGCAGAAAGTTGCAGCTCTCACCACAAACTCAGAGTTACAAATCGTTTGCTGTGGCTGGAAATTTGGAGCTGTAGTTATTTTCAGCTCAGGCAGTGAGATGTGTTTGGGCTTGGTTTGGTTTTGGGGAAGAAGCAGCCGCCCAGCCCCGTGTATTTGTCAGGAGAACCCGACCCGAAAGCGGCGGGGTTTGGCTGCGGTCTGTCCGCTGACCTCGGTGGTCTCGGCATTGAATCCCCCAGCAGCACCCTCCTTTGTGCGAGTGCACTAAAGGAAATCCCGTCAACAAGTATTATTTCCCTCTGCTGCTTCCCCTCTCGTGTGGCACACACAATGCAGGTAGCGTCGACGGCCTGAAGATAAGCGGGATGGAAAGTGATGGATCACAAAGACAATATTGTAACACTGAACTAGCTCTGTGGCAGCTGTGAATTAAACAACTCTGTCTTCTGGCTAACACCACGTTAGGCTTTACATTGATAGATGACTTTTTTAAGATTTATTTTTCTCGGGGTTTTTTTGTGAGGAGGAGTGACACGCTGAGTATTGATTTCCCCCCTTCCTTCATTTTAATTTGCAGTTATCTCTAGGCAGCGAATAAAATATTATTCTTGCTGCTCCTAGTGACTCATGGTGCTAACTACTGTCATTCTATAAACGGATTCAGCTAAGCTGGAATCTTTTTAAGTGAAAATCACTTGCATAAGAGCAATCCTTGTGAGAAGAATGCAGGTTATTATGCAAGAAGCCCCTTAACGTTAAGAAGGCTTCTGTTTATCAAAGCCACGGCTTCGGTGGTTCTGAAAAGCACTTCTGGGAAGTCTCTTTAAAGTTACTGCTATTTTCCAGGGATAATTTTATGTGCTTCATTGTATCGCCTGCAGACCCAGACAGTATGCAGTTATCAAATATATTGGGGTTTTTAAGAAGGATTTTTCTGATACTGAAGCACTGTGGTTTTATTCGGGAAAGCTCTCTCTCCCCAGTGCCCCCACTCCCTCAGCTCTCCCTGCCAGGACAACACTGTGATAAACTTTCTTCTGTCTTCTAATCCTTAAACTAAATATTTTCAGAGCTATTGTGCATGCTTTCCTTTTCATCACGCTGAACTGCTGAATTGGGGGCAGAGCTCTTCTCCCCACACCTTCCCTGGACTGGGTGTGCAGTTGTTTCGTCATTGCGCTACCTGTTAGTTTGGCACTTCTGAAGATGCCTGGACTTAGTTTGAGGGGTGTAAGAGTTTTGGAGCATGCTGCTACCTTGATCCTTCAGTACTTACCCTCCCTGCTAACGTTTTTGGGCATATGAACGTAGGTATTTCTTGACCTTTGCTCTAGGACAAGATGTGTAATATTCCTTCTTTTTCCACCTTCCCACTAATATGAAACTTCGTTTGGAGAGGAAGGTTATGCCAGTGTGTTGCTGGTGGACTAATGTTGTCTCCTTACCTGTCATTCCATCTCTGTGTGCCACCCAAGGCAAGGACCTGTGTCTCTTGTAGGCAGCTGCTTCCGCCCACCTTCAAAGTAAAGACTATTTGCTGTGTCTGGGATGTTGCTAGCCCAAGAGAGCAGTTGGCAGCTCGAAGAAATAATGAGTGGCTTAAGAGTTCAAATTAATGGTAGTGATGCCAAAAACGTGGATGCTGCTCCCTCTGCCCCAGGTTTTCTGTGTGACCAAGTCCTGCGGTCTCACTGTTGGCTGTTCCCACGGACAGGGTGGGCTCTGTGCAGAGCTGTGAAGCTCTGTTGTTCCTCTTAACGCTGATGTGCTTTTCCTCCCCTTTCCCTCTTTGCAGTGGGAGGAAGTGAGCATTATGGATGAGAAGAACACTCCAATCCGCACCTATCAAGTCTGCAACGTGATGGAGCCCAGTCAGAATAACTGGTTACGAACTGATTGGATTCCCCGTGAGGGGGCTCAGAGGGTATATATTGAAATCAAGTTCACTCTAAGAGACTGCAACAGCCTGCCAGGTGTCATGGGAACTTGCAAAGAGACTTTCAACCTTTATTACTACGAATCAAACAACGATAAGGAGCGTTTTATTCGAGAAAGCCAGTTTGCCAAGATCGACACCATCGCTGCTGACGAGAGCTTCACCCAGGTGGACATTGGTGACAGGATCATGAAGCTGAACACGGAGATACGGGATGTGGGGCCGCTCAGCAAGAAGGGGTTTTACTTGGCTTTTCAGGACGTCGGGGCCTGCATCGCTTTGGTGTCTGTTCGTGTCTTCTATAAGAAGTGCCCGTTGACGGTGCGAAACCTGGCGCAGTTTCCGGACACCATTACCGGGGCCGATACCTCCTCGCTGGTGGAGGTGCGCGGCTCCTGCGTCAACAACTCGGAAGAGAAGGATGTGCCAAAAATGTACTGCGGGGCAGATGGCGAATGGCTGGTGCCCATTGGCAACTGTCTGTGCAACGCTGGCTACGAGGAACGCAACGGTGAATGCCAAGGTAGGACGAGCCATATTGTGCTCTTCGTTAGGGCTCAGTTGTGAATGCGTAATTGAATCGGCGATGAGAGTACATGGAGTGAAGCCAGTAATTAGCAGCCCCTGTGGGATGTGGTGGGACAGAGGGGTTTAATGAAGAAGCCCAACGGCTCCAGGTGGCAAGGCTAAGAACTAGCAAACAAATGCTACTGCCATAAGAGGCAGAAGGCAAAACACGCTTCCTAGCAGGCGCCTAAATTTGAATTGGCTCACGATGGGCACCGAAACGCGAGTGGCTGCAACACGGCGCAGTCGAGCGGCCGTCGCTTCGAGAGACAAATCATTCAAGGCCTGTCTGAGGCAAACTTTTGTTAAGCACAGGAAATTCTGGCAAAGTCTCCTTTGGATAATGCAGGGGGATAAGAACCAGTCGGGGCTGGGGGCGAGCAGGAGTTTTAGCTGGATTACTTTCCCGCTTTGGGAAAGGGAAGTCTTTGGTGTTTTACTTGTTGCAAATTTTTTAGCACTAAATACCCTTTGATATCTGACACTGCTGCCTTTGTTAAATATTTTCATTTCTCAGAGGGTCTCTATTGTCAGCTTAATAATAGAGGTGCTAGGATACTCTTAGAAATGCTAAAAGTCCCCACCCCACCCTCCCACACACACCATCCTGTGTGCTGCAGAATTAGGGATTAAAGTCTGGATAAAAGAGAGATTATCCTAAAAAGAAGAAAGCTCAGTACGTACGTTCTCTTCCCCTCCCCTTACTGGAAAAAAAAGAAGTTGTAAAAGGTTAGGGCAGGAGAGAAGGGAGTTTAGAATATGAGGCTAAAGGTATTTTATTTATAAGCTCTTGCTCATGTAAGCTTCAATTAAAATCAAACTTAAATGGAATCTTGCACAGGTCATCGGGCTTAATTTTGCTGGGTGCTGAACTGAAGGTGCTCAACTCCAGAGTGGGTTTGGAACCACGTTTCTGGAGAAGGGTCTTGGGAGCCAGACGACTTTGCTTCACATCTTGGTGTGGGTTTTTTCACTAGGTGATTTTTCTTTTTTAAATTTTATTTTTTGGTCTCAAGACTGAGAACTTGCACAGCAAGTGACTGCTTGCTTTTCTGCTAGACTCTGAAGAGAACAGTGTCTTTGAGTGTCCTACTTGATTTCTTTTAAATGATAATTTACAGTCCACGTGAAGCTTGTTATTATGCGTTGAAATTAAGCTTTGGCAGGAAGAAGCACTAAGTATAAACTTCAGCCTTAATTTCTGAAGCTTTTTCCATAAAGCAAAACCACAAGTGTGCCATATTGGCACCAAAATAACCATGGGCTGTAGAGAGACCTGGAAGATGAGCAGCATGCTGACAGGGCAGCCTGTCTGGGGTGAATTCCTCTGGGTTTTTTTTTTTAACCCTGTGAGATGGAAACGCGAAAATCTGTGTATCATTAAACATGTGAACCTGGGGCTGGGTGCTGCTGGGGAGATGCTGTAGCTTCCTAAGAGCTTGATAACTTCTGGGCAAAGCTTCTCCACACCTTTACAGGTTGGGTTGTGAGAGGAGGAAGGGAATGAGTGGGAGAAAAGCATCTGGGTTTATTGTGTGGAGATTATTCCGCCTTCTCCTAAAGACCTATTAGGTCAGTACTGGGTCACTCCGACTGACACGGGTCTACCATTTTTCAGCATCAGTGGCCCAGACGTGATGAGCTAATTGCCTAACAAATCCTGTGTTGTTTGAGGAGAATCTCTTGAGGTTTTGCTGGTGGGCAGTGGTGATAGCAGGATGCTTTTCTAGTTTATTTTTGTGGTGTGGGACTAGACCTTGGGGATGAAATGTCGGCTTCCGCACCGGCTCTCGGCAGCCCGCGGGGAACCCTGGGCTCAGGAAACCCAAATCCCTTTTTCCCAAGTAAAAGGAAGATCAAGTGGTGCCGTGTTTACAAAGGAGATGGAAATGCTCTGTGTCTTGGGTTCTCCAGGGTGAAGTTGGCCTGCACTAGTCATCTGGAGAGGATTTGAGCCAGCATGTAATTTGAAAGCGCTAAACCCATTTCATCAGCGGTTATTTGTGGTTTCCTTTCTCACATTTGCCATTCTCCAGCCAGAACAGCTTACCAGGAAGCTCCTCTTCATGAGCTCATGAAGTTTACCAGCGCTCTGCAGCTTGCTCTCTGGTTTCCAACAAGGCTGTTGAAGCACTTTGGCCTTTGACACTGCTGAATGAGGTTTCCCCTTTTCTTTCCTCACTTAACTTCATAGTTCAGCAAACGTTCTGCCCCAGCAGGTCTTTGGAGGGGAGGAGGAGGAGGATGAAGTGAGGAGGCTTCCTGTGGTTTTGGTACAGAGGATTGGGAGGCAGGGGGAAGAGACTTTGAGTTGGCAGTGGCTGTAAAAGGGTGCCAGGCTAGGACTGGAGCTGGTGAGCAGGTTCCACCTCAATTGTTTTTCAATAGGTTGACTGTGGCAGGACAAATACAAGGAAAGGTCAGAGGTTGTCTGCTTCCTCATCCATCTTCCCCTGTGATCCCAGGGTCAGAGTTAGGATTGATTAAGATCTTAAGTGTTTGACAAAAGCTCGGTGGGAAGGAATAGTTTAGGCCAGCGGATCGGGGCTTTGCACTTGTTGAGAGACCCACGGAAGATGTCGGAGCCTCTGTCCTCTCCTGGGACCTGCTCCCTGCCACATGGGGCTGGGACGGACCAGCTGCTGCTCGGGGTGCCCTAAAAGTTGCTTCAAGTTCACTTAACCTTCTGATTTTTTAGATAATACGTTCTCCTTGAGCTGCCTTTGCTTAATTTCTGATGTGTGTGTGGGAAGCGTAATGGGAAGCTGCCTCACATCTAAAGTGCTTCCTGGGATGGGAGTTAATGACTCTCTGACCTTCAGCAATTGTGTTGGTGGTATGGAGGTGTTTGAATATGCTGGCAAAAAAACTGTCCTTCCTCTGACTGCTATTTTTTTTTCCAGCTGACTTTATTGATGATAATTGTCTTACTGAACATCCATTTGCATATGCAAAACCCCAGGGCGGGAAGGGAAAAGAGATGGGTATTTAGCCCACTTTTATTTGGGAAACTTCACAGATCTGTCACAGGAGTGGCTCCACAAAGCTGGTCCTCAGAGTAGAAATACTAGGTGAGCACTACCTTTGAAGAAAACCTTTGCTTACAGCTGAGTTTGTAGCTGTGAACTTGATGCTAAAAAACTCCTTCACTTGCTGCTGTGCTATTTTTTTTCCTTATTATTCTCCCCCAAACTTCCTGTGGTAATGGCCACCTATTTAGGAGAGCATAAATGTGGAAGATTGTGGATGGAACAGGACTCTCCCAACTAGTAGCACATCTCAAGGCTAAGCTAATTAGTGCTTTAGGGCAAAGTTGAGACATAAAGTAATTGTAAACTTTGCTTGTCTGCATCATTGTTATGTAAATTGTTTTGTTACACGTTAATATAATGTGGTTTGGCTTTAGCTATGATTTCCTTATGATAAAACGTGTATCTTTTTAACTCAAAGGAGCAGGGGGGAAAACGAGCAGGAAGGGAGGAAAGACAGATTAAAGAAGCAATAGACTGTAGCCATCTGTGATGATTTTGATGCTGTGAAATTACAAATCTCAATTTTAGACCTGCCATTTAGTATAAATGCGAGACAGTTGAGATTTTTACTGTGATATTGTAAAGGTTATGAGAGCCAACAGCTTTGTCTTCATCTACACTTGCTTTTTCGAGTTGTGAATTGGCCAATTGGCAGAAAATCCAGTGTCTTGTAAAATATGGCTCAGTCCTAGTTTCCTATCACTGCTGTTTTTAGAATTTTCCTTCAAACTTTGATAAGAGCATCCCTAAGAAGTAGTAATTTGAATGATAAGATTCTTTTTATCTCGGAGGCTTTGAAGAGTGGCTGTGATCATTGAGAGCAGCAGTTCAGTTTACATCAGAAGGGTACAGCCTAATGATATGTTTTTTTTTCTGTGATAAGGATTTTTGGATGGTGGGTTTTGTAGGGGCGGGAAGCAAAGTAATTTGTGTGTGCTTTCCCATTTCAGTCTTAGACAACTTTTTTTTTTGTCAGAATAACACTGATGAACAGTCTGGCTGCACAAAAGGGTAATCAGAAGGGTGAGTAAGACTGCGCAGATTTGAGATTTCAGAGGGATTTTTTTTCTTTCCAGGTTGATTATTTTTGGCAGGGGAAAAAAAAATGCACAGACTCAACATGTTACATTTTAAAAGGAGCTGAGAAGATGAAAGCTCACAGGAGGGACCTGGGAGCAGCACTGAAACACAGTCTGTCTGAACCAAATTTAGTTGGTTCCCTTCCCTGCTGAAGGAGTGATTTGGTTACGTTGTGTTATGGTCTCATGTAGCTCAATAGCTCTTCTGGAGGCTGCTCCCTCTGTGGTTTTTGTACTGCTTGGTGTGTTTCAAAATCTCCATGTAAAGGCCATTGTGGGCTCTGTGTTGGTTTTCTCCTCCCTGGCCCCCTCAGAAGTCAAGCTACAGTTGTCAAGCAATTGTCCCTTCATGTAGCCCTTGGAGAAAAGCTGGGACTGCTTCCTTCTGAATTCCTGTCAAAATTCCTG